AATCTAAGCTTTTTCATATATAAACTACCAAAGAAAAATTTAATTTTAAGCATGGAAACACTTCGTATAATGTGATCAAGAAGGTAAACACATGGAAGGATTCATAGGAAGCTTTAAATATTACAAACGTGGAAGAGAACAGCAGAAAACACTTTTTTACGATAAAGATGATGCCAGCATGAATTGTGTGACATAAAAATCTTCGGAAATTAGATTAGAACTTCTCGATCTCCCTCATAATTCTTTACTTTATTGATATTATCTTTCAGATTTCGGCATTCTTTTGATCTTCTTATTTACTGTTAAAAGCAGATTTTACGCGATTTATTTAGTTACTTTAATTCTATTATATTATCAAAAGAATTAAAGAACAATGTATAAATTTTCTACAAATATTTATTTTGCCAATGAATATATTTATATATTCCTTTCTTTTTTCTTAATTAGAATCGTGCTAAAAGGAAATCGTGCATCTCTTCGATCTAAATTAATTCAAATTTTGTTAAAGCACGACATGTTCTAACGTCTTTATTTACTTGTATAAATTTGTAGAGAAAATTTTCAGGTAATTTTACCTGAAAAATAAACAATCTCATCATCTTTCTTCTTTTAGAAGTAAGAACTGAAACTGTTTTTAATGATTATGGATGCAAAAGGAAAGACTAATTTTCCTTTCATGTTTGAAAAAATTCTTCTTCTTTTTTATTTTTATCATTTAAATAATAATCGCATCGCTACATTAATAATTCATAAACATAGTGAAAAGATAAAACTGCAGATATACCAACTCGATCGATAGAAATAGGTTATCTTATTTCTTCCTTTCACTAATTTTTCTTACATTAGTATAAAAGTAAATTAGTTATTTTTCTATTTACAAATTTATATATATATTTTAAAGTTTTTTAAATATTGATTTATTCAATTAAAAATTCTTAATTCTAGCTCATTAAATTTTTAATATTTTAATATACTTTAACTAATAAATATATTAAGAATAAATATGTATGTGGGTCTACTGTATATGCAATGTTTGTAAATTTGATTTGTTTTATTTATTTAAAATAGGAAGGAATAGTCCCAAAATGTCTGATGACCTCATCTTTACTGAGATTACTTAAGAACCATTACACTTTATTCATAAATTTAATTACAATCGTTCTAACTCATCATTTTGAAACGTTCCATTAAACATTTATAGTAAGCACTCTTTGCTTTGATAACTATTCTAATATTCCAAATAAAATTACAACTTTCAAAATGTATGAATCTTACATTTTCAATTACTTCACTGTATGTGTTTATTATATTCTTACACACTTTAAACACTTTTTTAAATATATACTTTAATAATTTAAAGTTTTTTAAGTACATTGAACTCTCCTGATGTTTTTTGAAAGCTTCCCTTTTTAATTTTTATAAAGATAAAATGTATTTTTAATCACTATTTAAAGTAGTATTGTTAATTAGTATATCTTCAAATATCCACTGTTTGAACAATTACTAACAATAAATACTTTTAAGTAAGTACATATGTCATACATTAACTAAATTAAAATTTAAAGTAATTTTTTTTTTCTGAATTATGACTTTATTTTTACAGAATTTATGAATTTTGAGTTTGTTTTTTGGAGTAGTATTTCGTTTAATTAGTCTAAAAATTGAAAAAAATGAATATTTACTTTCAAAAACTTCTCTAATTTGCAAAAATAATTAAATTTATGTTAACATCTTGTAGAAAAACTAGAAAATATTTTTATTATGAAGATAAGCTAACGTGAAATTTTAATATGGAATTTTTTTTTACATAGCGGAGAATATATACATGGACAATTAATTCATTTTTTTATGAAAAATAATTATAAAAATGTAAATATGTTAAATTTGGAGCCATAATTTTGGTATCTATAAAAGATGGCGATAGATCTAAATAATAGAATGGCAATTAGTTAATGCCGATTTGTAGAAGGAGTTGAATGCAAGAAATCATCGTCACGAAATTGCATAGGTACCAATTTTCCGAACATCTATTATCTCTAATGTATAGTTAACAGGATTAACGATCGGTTTGTCCGAAAAGCATTTTCGAGTAAATGACATTTGCAAGCCAAGTGGCAACCACTCCCCTTCATTTGCTTGTTAATTAGAATCAATGCTTGCCGCACATTTCATACTCGCTCCATTTGTTTTTCGAAAACTGTTGCTTGATTCCTTAATCTACCGACCTCTAATACTAACTCTCTCTTTGAAAAGTGATATTAAATTTAAATGCTTCACTTCCTCTTCTTTATCAAAAGGCTTAAATTCAATATTTTGTTAAAAGGATCCATTTTATCTTCTGTTAAAACGTTTCTCTCTTTCTGCTTTGTCAAAAGCCTTTACTTCCTCTTCTGTTTAAAGGCTTCAATCTTGCTAAAAGGCTCCAAACTGTCTTCTGCTAAAAGACTAAATTTTTTCTCTTTAAAGGCTCCACTTTCTATTCTTTCAAAAGGCTTTTATTTTCTTACAAGGTCCAATTTCTATTACGTAGAAAGGTTAAATTTCTTTCACAGATTTCACTTTCTGTTCTATCTAAAAGCATCATTTCAAGTTACAACTTCCTTTTATAGGAAGCCTTTTTATTAAAAAGCTCCAAAACGCCTTTCGAAAATTTATTTTATAAAATTGAAGCCTTTCGAAATATAAATGGAGACATTTTTAATACAAGACTTTCTATACAGTCTAATATAAAATAAATTTTCAGAGTAATTGGAATTTTCCAAAGGTTCCCCTTACACTAATAAGTCTTCTTTTAAGATTCTAAGAAGGCTTGTATCAGTAGAAGATTTCATCTATTTTCCTTTTTTTTTATTATATAGAAAATCTTCGCTTTCTCTTCTACGGTAAAGCTTCATTTTATTTAAAGCTGTCACTTCAATGCTCTAAATTTACTCTATTTTTTGAAGATTTAACTTTCAGATTTTAGAGAATTTTATCATTTCGGAAGATAATAGAACATTTGCTATTGTCGAAAAGCTTTAAACTCTATTAGAAGGCTCTAAATTCTCTTCTATCAAAAGGCTGTTCCACTAACATCAGAGGCTTCATACAATTCGTACAGATTACTAAAGCAATAAGCAATACCTAAGCAATTAATTGTAAAATAATCTGATATACAATTCACGAAATATTTTTGCAGTTTTTGTTAATAAAAAAATCTTCAATTTTCAAAAAAATTTTTCTAAAAAAAAAACAATTAAAAGTACTCGGAAGAAAAATATGTGGCATAATTATTAATTGGATTTAATTTAATTTTTGTTCTTTTTTGTGAATTTAATTTTATTGAACCTATTTCTAGGCTTAATTTATTAAAAAAAAGGAAAAGATATTTAATAATTGTTCTTTTCTTTACTTATCTCCTGAGGATACTCTTCCTAAATGAGAAAAAAAACTACATTCGGATTATATAATTTCTCATCAACTAAATTTTTATTGAAATAAATTAGCAATTACTTTACTTAATTCTTACAATTAAACATCTTTCCAGTGCTTTAAACGTTGTTTAATTTAAAGAATTTCTCTTTGTTTAATGATGTTTTAAACCATCAGATGGCGACAAATTCAAACTTACACCTTTTTTTTATTAACACTTAAGTATTGTGTAATTGTTTGCGATTGGAGAAGAGTGACGACAATAATACACATTATACTTCTTCTGTAACTTTCAAAACAAATATGGCTACAAAATACTATACATTTACAATCTTTAAAAGGAACAGTAACAACAGCAGAAAGCACAACTACAACAACACAATGTGTCTTTTATCATTAAAAGGGAGAAAAATAGTAGCAATATATCTTATTCGCTCGTTAACGTTGAACAGGAGCGTAACAAAAACAACAACAACAACATAAACATATACATGGTGTTGTTGTTGTTATTATTACTTTACTTATTGTAACTATTTCTGTAGTAAAAGTACGTTGCACGAGCTGTTATTAAAGAAAATAACGGTAAAATAACACGTATGTATTTTTATTTTCAAGAAGAGAGTAACGTCAATAATACATCTGTGCACTTATTTACTTTATAGAAGAGAATATATAGCGATATATCGTACGTGTTTATTACCTTCAAGAAGAGAGTAACAACACCGACAACATATCATATGAATTGATCACCTTCAAAGAGAACATAGACAAATTATATGTGTTCATCTTTAGTGAGAGAGTAACAACAACAGCAACAACATGTTATATTCATTTACTTTCTTCAAACAATAGTAAGAAAAACAATACGTGGTATACTTTCATTATTTACAAAAAGAAGGAAAATATTATAAAGTGTTCAACAAACTATTGTATATGCAAATTACACTTTTTGTTAATTTAAAAAAAAAGTTATTAAATATTTAACCTTTATTTATTTTTAAATAAAATTTATTAACTTATTAAATTAAAATACATTTTTTAAAATAAATTAATAAATAAAGACAATAACATTTTAATTCTAATATTTACCTTGAATAAAGTATATAAATAGGCTATTAATAAATCTATATTGTTTACATTCTCTCTTAATGACAATCGATACTTAGATACAAATTACAAAGGCATAAACATAATTTTTTTTAAAGTTTTATAGATAATGCCACTTAATATTGATTATCCCTGATAAATATGATTTAAATCTAAATTTACTAATGATAGATTTTAATTTTTTTTACTAATTTATAGAATTATTAATTGAAATTAAGTGTATAAATGAACGATAATACAATAAAATTTAAGCTTTAACTGTGTTAATAAAAGTTAAAGCTCAATTAGCACTTATATCTTTAGAATACGTAATAATAGTGTATTGCAGTATGATAATATTTAATGTATTATCTTTAATTTGTACATTTAATTCTAATTAATTTCTCCATTTATATAAGTGAGTTAGAGAATGTCTAACACATAAAGAAACTATTGAATCTGTCAATTACTTATATTTTTTTATGTTTTTTTTCCATGTTCAGGTGTCTAGCAGAGGTGTTGAGTGCCTATTTTCTCTTTCGTTTACCTGCTGAAAAAGTACAAGTAAGAAGCAATTTCTGAATCAGAACGAAAAAGTAAGTATTCCATTTAGAATAGATCACAAGATATATCTTCAAGGATGAAATTTGTTATATATTCTACAGAAAATATTGAAGGAAAATAATATATTTTCTTGCTCTTCCTTTAAGATATATACTTTAAAATTCATATAATTGTAGCTTGGAGATTAAATTATCATGTTTGTTCTTCACATTTTTAGTATAGAAGAACGTCAAATGACACCTTTTCTTATATCATTTGCAGGTTTGTTGTCGAAGATACAACAATAAAAAACATTCCAAAAAGTAGAAAGTTTTAAAATTTAATTTTTTTTTTCCTGAAAAGATAAATTTTTTTTCAGAAATTCATTGAGATATTTGTATACTTCTCCTCTATTTGTTCACATATATTTGAAGCTTTACAGAAATTCGAATAAATGTATTTGAATTGAATATCAAAAGTTTTTGTTGCCATAAGGCATTTTCTTCCAAAACAACTTTTCTAAAAATATAAACAAATGATTTAATTTTATAATAAGTATTATACATTTTAAGAGGTTTTCAATGGATTTTTTAAATCATTTTTACATTAAAATTTGCGACGGTTTATGATGCTTTTTTCTTCAGAAAAATTCTAAAAATACAAAAAGACGATTTAATTCTGTGAAAAATATTTTAAATTTTATGAGCTTTTAATAAATTTCTTTTAATTTTTTTTATTTAAAACTTATAATCGTTTGACAGTGTTTTTCTTTCTAAAACCTTTTAATTCTACAGAAAAATATTCTAAATTTTATCATCTTTCTAATGAAATGTTTTTTAGTTTTGTAATCACTTCTGAGGATATTTTTTTTTTCCTAAAGAACCTTATACAAATATATTTAAACATATTTTTTATATTATTTAAAGGTTATCACCTTTTAAATAAAATTTTTTAGAATTTTTAATAAAAAACCCTACATTCATTCATTAATTATACATTAATTATAAATAAATATTTGCCTTCTACTCACTAAACCGATATTTTTATAAATAGTCAGGAATATTTTTATATTTTTTTAATGAATTAATTCATTAATTATTATCCAGGAATATAAAATGGATTAATTATTAACAAGCGAGAAACTTTTGTTAAGGAGCGATGCTCTTGGTCTTCTGAATAGATTCATTAAAGATAATTTTTGTTGTCGACTTTCACCTTTTTGTAAATTAGTTTTTAAAACACGTACAACTTTTCAGTTGTCTTTCGTAAAACAAATAATCTTTGTTCAATGAAAGCAAACATTCTTTCACTAAAGAAGGATAAACAAACAAAGAGAATAAAAGTTTAAAAAAAAAAAGAAGAGGAAGAAGAAGTAAAGCTTCTTTTATGAAAGCTTAATAGTTAATTAACTGAAAAGAATTGAAAACAAATTATTAAAATGACGAGAATTTTATTTTATCGATGTTGAATATGCATAAGATAAATGCGAAGAAAGAATTCAAACGTAAAAACAGTTTAAAGAAAAAGAATTTCAAGAATGAAACCGTTTTAAAATGGGATGCGAGCATAAAATTGTTTTTAAAAAATGAATTTAGAAGCGTTTAATTGCATGAATATTTTAAATAACGGGTTAAAAGAGGGTATAATTTATAAGAGTATTTAAATAAGTGTTTAGGAAGATACAGTAACATAAAATTACGACAAAAACTTAAAAACAAAAGGGTGTAATTATCAGAATATTTATAAACTAAATTCTGAAAGATATGTAATCATTAGTAGGCCTACATCGAATATTAGTATATCGATTATTAAATCATTAAAACCAATTTTAAAAGAAATAATAGGAAATTATGCAGAAAATATCATCAAAAAAGGAGTACAAACGTAAAATTATTTAAAAAAAAAACATGAATTTGAAAGGGAATGCAAGAATAAAATGTGCAAAAATGTGCAAAAAATGAAAGGAGCGTCAGAGTAAGAATATTAAGATAATGAATTGAAAAAGATGTACAAGTGTAAAATTATTATTATTTTTTTATATTGAATTTGAATGTAATTTAAGCAGAAAATAATTCTAAAATAAACGCAATCGTAAAAGTATTTAAAATAAATAAAATTTAAAGGAATATTTGGATACAATTGTGTAAAAAGTATTTAAAAAAAGATGAAGTATAAAATTATTGGAAAAGTATATAAGCATAAAAAATATTCATAAAATTTGAAAAAATGAAATTACTAAAACATAAAAAAATATAAGCATAAAAAGTGTTAAAAATGAATTTAAAAAAATATAATAAAATCAAGTTTAAAAAGAAAATAAAGCGTAAAGATACTGATAAAAGAATTGACACCAGCTAAAGTCTTTCTTCAACAGCCGAAAAAAGTGTTCGAAAGTGTTCAAAATTAAACACGATTCTGTCACGAATTACAAAATTTCTACATCAATAATTTGATTCAGTCATTTTATTTTTCCGTTAACAACGGTGATCTCCCCCGTGGCACACTCGTGACAGCAGCCACGTAATTTGCTTAGTCAGAACATAAACGCTCTTCGTTGTAACAATCAGTCGTTTGTTAGATAATCAAATTATACTTAATTGTCCTCATTGATTTGTATTCTAACATTAAAAAGAAAAATCAAAATTATTTTGAGTATCGCCTAACTATTATTTGACTTTTTTTTCTTCCTCCTCCCTTCATATTGGAGTTAGAAAAATAAGTTTATCTTCTTTACGTATACAATATTTTAACTCGGAATTAATGCGGACTAGTAGAGAAACAAAACTTAATTAGCTACTGAAATTATATTTTTCCGCTTATTTACACAGCATTTGGCCTTAGAGAAATAAAGAATAATGAATTTTCTTACTTTTTCTTCCATCAAAAGTGATATTAAAAAGTGATTTTTCTATAATAATTAATGAGTTTTCTCGATTTTTATTAACTCGGATACTTTATAATTCATCGATAAGTACAAATTATGTATACAGAAATTCATAATTTATTCATATGTTATGTGATTCGAAATCATAAACTGTAATAATGACCATAATTAAATGAAACGATGTCACACTCGTGTACTTTTTCCCATTGCGTGAAGGGGTTGCATTTTTTAAATGGGAAAAATACCGGTTTAACTGTACTACACTGCCCTCTAGTGTCGTGAAAGTGTGGTTGGCGTGACAATTGGTCGTTTGCTTTCTCTTCTATTAAGTACACATAATGGAATGGTAGTAGCATGTCTACAATTGCTCCACATTTGTTACGTCCGATTCGAAAGGCATGCCAAACTGCCCGCTTTTCTTCTCGTTTTTATAAAAATTATGCTTTAATAATGTAAAATAAGTGTTGTAATATAATTTAAACAGTTTTATGAAGAATATTATCGATAGAAAGAGTTAGAACATCTTAAAGAACGAGTTATCATCTTCTTCCCACTATAAAAGATTCTGAAACATCTATAGAGATTCAATACGTTTTATACGCTTTTTTAAAAATAAATATACAATAAATGAATATAAATAAATTACATTATACACGAGTAAGAAGTAGTTGCGTGAGTTAGTAATATGTCGAGATACTTAGTCTCGAGAGGGGACTAGTTTTGATGACCTTTTCCTATTTAGGCTTGTCTAATTTCAGCTTCTTCAAGAGACCAGAACTGTCGTATCGATTAGTTCACATGTCGCTATCTTTACTTTCTCTTACTAGTCGCTCGGAATACAGAGTGGCAAATTAAAGTCTGATGTCTAAACTAACTGTTTTCTCATCTCTTCTTTCTAATATCCACTCTCTCTCCTCTTGCGCTTCATTTTCATCCATCCTTTTTATAAATTTATTTTTATACAAGTTTGAGAAAGTCATATTTTATTAAAGGCATATTTTTCTTTCTTTTATTTATAGCTAGAAACATCAGGGAAGGTGTATAGAAAACAGAAATACTTGAACAATCATGGCACAGCATTGAATGTATACTCTATCTCTGAACTATACCCTAAGGTTACCAGGTGTTATCTATTGGAATTGTATGAAGAAAACATCATCAAAAGTATGTAGTTGCCTTATTTCTAGATCTTAAGTTACTTCTCCCTATTTTTTATTTTTTATTCTTTCATCTTCTTCTAGTAGACATATTTAAATATTGATAAAACTACCGAATCTCTGGTGAACATTTTTGCATCTTTAGAAAATCGAACTCATAAAGGATTCTGATCACACACAAGGAACTCGGGTATAATGTTACATAAGAGATAACGCCGGACATTTTATTCCTACTTTCGCTTTATCTAAGTGTAGGAGTCTAAATGTAATTTGCATATATTTTGTCAGATCGTACTTTCCCAGAATTCTTTTCGTTTTCGTTCCCTTATCTTAAAATGTTATCCTCTGTACAACCTTTGGAGAAATAAAAAGGGGGATGGAAATATTTCCTCACCACTTTGCTTTAACTTAATGCGAAATAAATATTTTAAAACCTTATTCTTTGTATAAAATAAACTTTATTTTGTTTAATATATTTAATAAAATCTTGCTTAGAAAATTTTTAACTCTGTTGTTTTTTAGAATATCTTTGTTCTTGTTTTATGAAAGGAGTTAAGGGAGTTAAATGATAAATGATGTAAACGATTATATTCAGCTTATGCTAGATACAAAAATTCATTATTTTAGATAAAAAATTAATTATTTTAAAGCTGTAATTATGTAAATATTATTGATTTTTTTAGTAAAACTTATATTCAGCGATTTAACAAATTTTTATTACGTTAGGGTTTATTAGAGTTTATATATGTATACTTGTCAGAAATTCTTAAATTTCTGGAAAGTATATGTATATAAACTCATATTTAACTTTTTATATTCGTATATGTATAATTATTTAGTAATATCTTGCAGGAGATTTTTCACTTTATACATACCATATCTAACAAAAACTCTAATTATTTCGATTATCAAATAATCAACAGAAGAATTTTTTAAACTAAAATTATTAATTGAGTCATGTAAAGAAAATTTAAGTCGATAGATGACATGGAGATTTATTTAGAATGTGTAATTCTCAAGGCACCATCTGTTTCCTATGAGCTTGCTCCGACTTCATCCATTAAAAATTGAAAATGATTTTTTACTAATTAGAGAAAAATTAGATAATTATTAATTATAAAAATATTTTTTTGAATCCAAAAAAAGAACATAAACCACTTAAGAATTCTTATATAATCGTTTCTGTGGCTACAATTTACAAAATTGTACTCTGCTTAAATCTGGATGTAAATTTTTATGTCCTATTTTATGTGATACGGAAGATAAGATAAAAGTAGAGTTACTTTTTATATTTATATATAAAAAATTTAAATATGTTTATATGTAGATCATTTCTAGCTTTATCTGTTTTAAGTTTATATGTATATATTTTATACTTATTTATTATATAAAAGTAGGAAAACTCAAAAAAATATGCTTCTTCATCAGGAAACTCTTTAATAAGAATTTACTTATAATAAAAAAATTTAAATTTATTTAAAATTGTAATTAGAGATTTTTGGATGAGGATCTTTATTTTATTGTATTTTTTATTTTCATGGTAAAAAAATAATCGCATTTTGAAATACAAATGATCGAATTATTCGTGGATGTAATCCTACTTCATTCGATAGAAAACCGAAGAAGAGGATAATTTATTATCCTAGAAAATAAGAAAAAAAATACATTCTTTGCATCTAGCGAATGCGGAGTGAAGTAATCCGAACCAGTTTTAAATTATGGTACAATTTTTATTCACTAAATTTCGTTTCTTCTGCATCAATGTAATTGGAAGCAGACTCGTGCAGTTCGGCTTCTCCTCACGACATTGGAGCCTTGCAGGAAAGTATCCATTTCTAAGTCTAACGAGTTACAATGCTCTTTAATATTGTTAACAAATGTTATCGGAGGAGATGATTCTTTTATTGTTGATTAAATAAATTTGAATAATTATTTATATTTCGTTTTTTAAAGTGTCTGGAAAAATATATATTTTTATTAAATCGTTGTTGAAACTATTTCTTTATTGATTTAAAAAGAGAGAAATTGCAGATTTAATTGCAAGTTTAAATTGATTTATCAAGAAGTTGAATGTGATTTTATCACAGAGTTGACTCGATCACAGATTGAAAGTGATTTATTGTTTATAATTTGAAAATAATTTAGTAAGAAGTTTATAATGATTTATTCAGAGATTGAAAGTAATTCATTTATGGCTTGTAAGCGATTTGTTCACAGTTTGAAAATGATTCAGTCACAGCTCGAAAGAGATTTCATTTAAAACTTGAAATGATTGAATCACTTTTAACTTGTGATTCAATCACAAGCTAAAACTCATTAATGAATTAATTGAAAGCGTTAAAACAGATTGAATCAACGACAAAATCTGATTTAATCCCTGGTCAAAATTCATCCAATAACTAGTTGTAAACATTCATTCTCTTGACAAAGCTGATTTCTGATTCAAAACTAGTATTCGAATTAATTATCCATGCCCTCTATTTGACATAGATTAATACAGTCAGATCTCATAAAACACCTGCTTCGGTACAAGTGAATCAACTTTGCATGCCACGTGTAAGAAGAAGGTTACATCAGACACGCTTTAACTAAATTGAGAACGACAACGGATTCGATTGGTGTCAAAGCGAACTAAAATCTTAAAATAACACTTTAGACCTCTTAATGGACCTTACAAAATTTAATTTTATCGAGAGAATGGATTTAATGACAATAGAAATCAGTAAATCTTTAAAGAATATATAAATACTCTTATAGGGAAGAATGTCGATACTTCCAACAGGTGATGACAATTATTAAGTATCAAAATATTTCCATCCCCGTTTAAAAAGTCATCAAATATAATAGTAGAGATTCCCTTTGAGGCCATTGACATCTACAGAGGATAATAAACTCTATAGATACATGCAGTATCGGATAAGGAAGAATGGGGTGCAATGCTGACGTTCTGCTATATTTTATGACTTATTTATGACCAACAGTAAAATTGTCTGCACTTATGGAAGAGGGGGTAGATTGTCGGTAGTTATGACTTGCAGTCCAATGCATCTAGAAGTTTTTTTTTTAATAAAATATGGAAGAGTGTAAGACGTAGCACATTGTTGAATTGGTGTGCGGGCTTGTAAAATCTAAAAAATTTAGATGTTAAAAAGTATCAAACGTTGATGAAGAGTTTTTTCTGTATTTGATATCCTTTAGGAGAAACAAATCTCTTAAAACTTAAACTATATCTTTGAGTGATCTCAAGAGAGAGATGTTTATAGTGCAACTTGGTACGTTTGTCCAATAAGAGGTCAGTAGTTAGTTTACAATCGAACTTAGACAAGGATTTACTATCCCCCGAGTGGCGTTTAGAGTAAGGTTTCTTTGATATCCATCAACAGAATATTGTACAAAATCGATTCTTATGTCATGTTTATCTCTGATGATGTCTCCTCCTTTGATCTCTTCTATTGAAAAAGAACGAGGTAAAGTATAATTACATAGGATTTCAGACAAAGAAAAATGTATAATTAAGTCGTATTATACGAAATGTTTAATTTTAGATGTAAATTTTATATAAAATTTTTTGAAATTCTTAGTCTCAGATAACAAATTACTCTTCAGGATAATGAAAGAGTAGAGAGATTTAATCACGATTTCATATTAACTTATCATTATTTCTAATTAAAAATACTTTAATAATAAATTCTTATGTAGAAAAATTAAAAATTTATTAATAAAAAACAGCAATTGTTAAAAATTAACAATTATGTTTTTAAGGAAAAATAGGAGGAGGAGGAAGAGGAGGAAATGAAAAAGAAGAACAAATTGAAGGTGTTAAAAATAGTAAGAGAACTTTAAGAGAAAAACATAAACTAGAAAGTGAAGTTTTTCAGATACAAAGTTAAATTCTTTATCTTCGATAGTCGATAATAAAAAAGATTAGAGTTTCTCGCCAACTACAACATTGATGACAGCTACATGGAACTTCAATTTACCTGTCCAGGTGTACGGGTCAGGTGAAACGCTGTCTTCTGTGGCATCTGTCTTGTCAGGTCACGTTCAAGACGGTCACCAGAGGCTAGGAAGGATTTTAACGAAACCCAATTCTTCTCTCGGGAAATGATGCTGGAGAACAGGAGAGTTGTGCCAAAGATCGAAGTGAAACGTGATGTAAAGAGATAGAAGCAAAATAAAACATTTAAATCTGAACCCCTCAAGAGTAATGGGATCTTCACGGAAAGATGATTGTCATTCAAAGGAGGAAAGATGTGAATCAATCTTACGAATACCAAATGATAGGAAAGGATGTTCAAAAAATCTCTTTCTTATATTATTATTATTGCAGTTTTCTACTTGATTTTGTATATAATTAAGTTATAACTTAGTAAATTTGCGTATCTGCACGATTATGTACTTTACTAGTAGCCCAAAAGTCAGTTAACTACGTTTAACTTACGTTCCTGCATTTCAAGAGAATATGAGACGTAAACTGAATATAGCACCCTATTTTTTTCTCTTAAAGGCAGCGTAAACGCGATAAAATCCATAAAGTTAACTAATTTTTGGGCCCTCCTTCATATTTAAAGGCGAATATTCGATTTCCGATAGTTTCGTGATGTTAATAACACTTATTTTTAATTAACTTAATTAAGAAGTTTATTTAATTTCAGCAAGGATGTCGATTTTTCCGTCTTTCCAATAGCGCATCATCATCGAATTTTTCATCTACTTCCAATCAGTTCTATACGAAAAGTAGAAATAAATCATCGGGATTATTGGGATCATATCCAATTATACCAATCAAAGAAAAGTAGCGAGTTCATAAAAACACTTTTTTCGTGTACTGTCAGATGAAAAAATATTGCACTACGTTACTGAATCCATCCATTTACACGCAACCAATCTTGTTAAATCTCGTGTAAAAGACCCAGAACATTCTCTTCAACAAATCCTGATAAAACACGAATTAAAATGCATTAGGATAAAGAAAAACATTGAAAAAAAATCCATATAAGGGATGCTACTGTCGCTGTTGTACAGTACATATTAATCATCCGCATCTTGTCATCCAGATACAAATCTCTGCACTCACGTTCCAAAAATTTCAACTCTGAAACGACTTGTTTGACCAATAGACTTATTAATTTCCGTAACAGGTCGAAAGTCGTGACGCCATGACGACTTTTCACTTAATAATTCATAACTTGTAGGAAGTACGTGTGTACTGTGACGTGCAGTTTGTGCGTGAAGAATGGAACAGCCATGATGGAATTTTTAAACAACTTCTCTACCAATTGATTCTATACACTGTTTCAATACGTAGAAATGGGGGAATTGCCTTGTACAATTGATAACTTAGTAAAATTTTCATACAAGTATCTGTATACACTCAATTTTCTTATATTAATATTAATTTTAGCTATGTTTCAATGCATATAACGTGACATAATAAAGAAAAGTCTAATGTTTTATGTATAAATTTCCTTATTTTGATTTCAATCTTTAAGTAAATCGTGATTCACGAGTGTTTAATTAACGTGAATCACGTAAATTATCCCATTTACATCGTGAGTAGCGTGGAATTATCTTAGTTTTTCACGTTAATAATAATAATTTTTTAGCTTAAAACTCTAAATATTTATTAAAACTAAAATTTTATAAATTAATTTAATATTTTGATGTTATAAATATATTTTTTTTAGAAAAAAAACATAGTTTAATATCCGAAAGGAAGCTTATTTTCTCGTGAATAATGCATCAAAATGATCTTATCCGTCCATCTTCTGGAAGGTGACACTTCTCGTGTCATCCTTCGTCAATGTGAAAGGTTTCAGCAGTTCTTGTGTATCCTAACGTTTGCGGACAAAATACCGAAAGAACACATTTTGTCACGAGTACTTGTGACAGCAGATCGTCACCGTTGTATCAAAGAAAACACGAAAAACCCATTACCAGACTCGGACTTGAAGAACTCTATGACCTAGGCTGGTCCGGCAGGTAAAGTAACCTATTTGCTACTCCTCCAAACTTTATATACTCCGTGACACGTTTACGTGACGTTTCATTGTGTCGTTTAGCTTCATTCGTGCTTCAACTCGGCTTCATCACTCAATTTTAAGTGATTAACACAATATTTTGCTAAATATTGATCTCAACTTACAAAACTATATGATCTGCATTTCTTTGTATCATTGTAAAATTGTTTAATGATTTAACAGTTTTATTGTTTCATTGTTTCATTGTATTATTTTTAGATTCTTTTATTCCTCAATTCAGCTTAATCATCTAGTTTTATACGCGATTTACCACTCAGTATCATCTGTGTGATGCTGTTGTTAATCAAGATTACTGATAAAACTAAGACAATATCGGTTTCTCTGAGTTCAGTCATAGTTTTAATTATGTTAAACAAGATAATGATCAATTAAATATCATTAGATGAGTTCTGATCATAGTTAATTACACTGATGTTCATCTGATGATGATGATCAATCATAAATACTCATTGAACTAAAATCTGTATGATCGTAAGATAAACAGTCTTATGAATTCAAATAGTAGTTTTAAATGATGTAATCGTGAATATAATAACATCATCATCATTATCAGTATCATAATTAATTTACTATCATTAGATAAGTTTTAATTATACGTAGTGATGCTAATCATAATCATAGATATTCGTAGAAAGTATCTAATATCAAAAGAAAGTACAGTACATATCTGCACATCTTTATAATTATGATCTACATCTCTATAAGTACTATCTGTAAGTACTAAGATCATCATCATCATCATTGCAACAACCTAAATAGCATAAAATTGCGCTCAGTAATCTTCCTTTCTCGACATTGAAACTTTGTCACAAAATTTAACTTTATATTATTAGAAATTTTAAATAACAGCATCCAAATTTGAGATGTAAATTATCTTGAAGTTATTTAAATAAATTTATAATTTTTTAAGCATTAAAACTTGGAGAGTGATGCATATTAAACGCATTTTAAAGACGATGCACTTAACTGATGAGTGCGTGCTTGTTAACTATCGGAGTTTAAGAGTTGGTTTTTATAGTATCAGAAGCATTAACAGACAACTTACGATGCTAAAAGTAGTGGATAGTGTCTAGGGGGAATGTTTTATATCCCTATCTGACACCCACTTTACGACCTTTAACCCTGTAGTGGTCGACAAAGAAACTATAGTCTTTGGATCATCTGCTTAGTTGAAACAAGTTATCTTTACGGTTTTCTTTACAACAACATCAACTAAGTTCGAGATTAAGTTGTCGAAGATGAAGACAAAACCTTGTTTTACCTTTTCCAAATGTCTGAAGGCTTTTAGTTCCATTTGCTCTATTATTGTTCCAAGTTAAAGATGCGAAAGACTATTAAAAACTTTTATTAAAGAAAAAATACGAAAATAAGCATTAAAAACACTTAATTTAAACCTTAAATCTGTGCTTAATACTTAATATTCAGTATTTAAAATCTAAATAGATATTTTAATTATTTAAATGGCATTTTTTCATTTGTAGATTATGATCCACAGGTTGGGAAGCTATTATTTATATTTTTAACTATATTATTTATCTTTATATTATTTAAAATATATTAAAATGTTAAAAATTATAATAAATGGTAAAATTCTTGAATTTATAACGAAAAATGATATAATTTATTTGATATTTATACATTTAATTAAGTTTGATTATGAAATTCTTAAGTAATGTTGAAGTGTATTATTCAACATTTCTTGAGAGTTTATAATCACTGTTTGAAGTGGTGAGTCAACATTCTCTGCTGTTATTTCTGGAAAGGATTGATGTTTAATTATTTCAGAAATCTTTCTTGTCAATGTTTGTTTCTTAATTAATGACAATTCAACATTTCTAGACAATTCTGATGCATATTTATCAAGATANAATTCAGGATCTTTTTTATTCTTTAAAATACTGTATACAATATAAAAATTTTATAGAATTCTCTGTTTATTTTATATATTTTTTAAATTATTATTTATTTTAAATACACAAGCAACATATTTTCATTTTAATAAATTCTTCTAAGCTAAGTTATATTTAAGTTACTCCTAATTATCATTCAATTTTTCCTAAAATTCTCATCTTCAAAGTGGACATACGCCTTAATTTCGATGTAATATGGTAAGAATTTTGTAAAGCTTTCAAGAAGGGTTTTTATTTTGAATTTTTCTTAGAATTTTTTCATCAAAAAATTTTACAATTTACGAAAAAAATTAAGTATATTATCATCTTGCGAAATCGAATTTTTGAAGAGAGTTTAATTGATTTTTTGTGTGAGTGATGCTGGGTTGTAAATGAAACGAGATGAGAGATTGTATCTACTGATTACCTAAACGGTTAGTAGAGAGAGAGAAATCTGATTAAATTGAATAAAAATAGTATAATTATACGATGTAAACTTTAAGAAAGTTGTAAATTTGTATGGTTTAAGCATTAAATTAACAATTCTGAAGCTTAAATTTTCTTAGAAAGCAAAAGAAATATCTGAATTTGGATGATTTAATGGCTCTGAAATCTCCAAAAATATCTTTAAAATTGAAGAAAATGAATTATTTTATTTATAATTTACCCATAATCCAGTTAAATAACTTACATGTATTTTTTAAACTTTATTACGTTGCATATCTCCCTTCAAAGGAGATAAAAAATATATAGGCCTATATATAGAAAGTTTAGAATACTTAACATAAATAAAATTTGTTATATACAAATTCTATCAGGATTTCTGAGAAACTTTATAGTGACAGATAGACAAACGGATGTACAAAAGTGAATATAAAATTGGGACTCACGATACCACTTTCACTTTTCGAGAAAGTTAACGTTTTGCATTCAGAGAGATGCTTTGGGATAACACAAAGTGAAAAATGGAATTTTATAAGAAATTCCAAGAATGTATTCTATTCAGCGTGATTCTTTAAAATTTCAACATTCTAATTTCTTTTTTTTTTTTTTCGATAATTTTTGCAGACAGACACATAGACTGACGGCGGAAATGTGAATATAAAAGCTAAACCGTTTAATGATTAAAGTAACTTTATTTTTAGTTGTATAAAATTTTAAATGATTTTTTTATAAATTAATAAAAATTCTAGAAATTTAAAAAACGGTGTTTAAATGATTCAAAAGATCCACTATAATATATTTTTCTCATTCGTTCATCTTACGCTCCTATAATAAATACTTCACTATCGGCGGAAGTGGAAATAGTGATGATGGACGACTTCCCACCTGTGACATGTGACATATCTAAACCGTATTACCATGGTTACAACTAAAATGTAAACAATAAAATAAAACCCGATCGAACTAAAATTAGACTGTTGCGTTCGAAACTCTTCAACACGTACCCAATCAATAATCAATAATCAAAAAAATCAATAAACCAGACTTTTTATTTTATTTTTTATTTTTTACTTCTAGGTTGATTTTTTAGCTGTTTTAACACGTATATAATATTTTTTTTTATCATGTTCTTGAACGAAGATAAAGGATAACAGTCGTTAAAACTGCTGACGCGAAACGTGTCAAGTGGTGGATACGATGCGCTACTTTGATGTTATTGTTGCTAGTTCTGTTCTAGATTTATAACACGGGATCAAAGCAGAAAATTATATTTTTTTAAAAAAAAAAAAAAAAAATACGTGAATAATATGTAAATTACACAAAATTAAGTAATTATTCGCTTGATACTCTTGTGTGAATGTTATGTAATTGTGTTATGGCTATTCTCCGGATAATATTGAAAAATTTAGAAATACATACATAAAAGATAGCCCAAAAGCCAGTTAACCGTGTTTAACTCTATTTATAAATAATATGGTAAATATAATTAGAAGATTTAGTTTAAAGATTAATATAAACTGGGTAACTTAATAATCGGTTAACCGTGGTTTTGTATATTGAGGGTACACGTATGAATACGAATCTTAGAGTTCAAAACAACGTGTCCTTTGACAAATTTGACGAGAACGGATAAAAATGGGGTTAAGTAAGAAATAATGTGGGTCGAATAATAGAACAATTTAGTCTTTACAATAGTTAATTGACATTTGGGCCACTCTGTATTCACAAAGTCCTTCGCGAATATCATTATCTCATACATCATACTGNGAGATCAGGTGGATGTGAGGAATAATAAGAAGTGAAGAATAGAGACGGGCTATGTTGACAATCAGACGTTAACACAACCGCTAGTCAATTAAGAAGCCACGTGACCGGCACTCGAATCCTTGTAACAGAATTCTCTCTTGTCACCACCTGGGTCTTGCTCCTAAGTGGCTCTGTTCTTTCTTTGTCGAGAAAATGGCTGCAATCGATTAGGCATCATCCTAACCACTCTGCATGCGTTTCTAGAAATAAAATTTACGACAGAAAATTATCTTAGCAATTTTTATATTTTAAATAATAGGGTGTAGTTTTGAGTGGAGTTTGGTTACTTCGCTTTTTTCAGTATTACTAAAAATGGAATGACAGTCGTTGAAAGCCTGTATTTTAAGCATACAAAAATAGAAGAGCTTCTTTTAATTCAAGTTCTTTTTTGAGCATTTAAAAAGTGAAGTTTTAGTAAATTTAAGTTTCTGTTTTGAGCGTACAAAAAGAGGAAATTCAATTAAAATTCGAGTTCTTGTTTTAAGTTTATAAAAAGTACAAAATATCTCTTTCTTGAGAATAAAAAACAAGAAAATTCAGTAGATTTAAATCTTCTTTGAACATATAAAAATGCTCAATTAAAAATTCAAGATCCTATTTTAAATAAAAATGCAAAAAATTAATTAATTCAAATATGTTTTGAGTGTACTGTACATAAAGTATAAATTAATTTACGTTTTTATTTTGAAATTTTTATTTTAAAGATACAAAAATACAAAATTGAATAATTTTGATTACCAAAAGTAGCAATTTTTCTTCGTTGAGTTTCCTCAATACCGAAAGTTGTATCAATTGAAAATGTCTCTTCTACTGGGTTATGCCATTCTACATAAAAGAATTCG